AGGTTATAGAGTAGTCTAGTATGCGAGACATTGTCAAAGGCCCCCGAGACGTCGAGCAGGAGGAGGCTTGCCACTTGTGGTTCGGGCGAGTTCCAGGCCTCGTATATCTTCTCGACAATAGTATAGAGTGCGTGGTCTACCGATCTTCCTTTACGTCCTCTAATATATGTGTTTGGCAGCAATTAATACATCTCGGTTATAAAGCTAATTCTTCTTGTAATGATCGAGTCTATGAGTTTGCCAATTGTGTTTAGTAGGGCTATTAGACAATACGCCTTAGGGACAGTATAGTCATCCTTGCCTGGTTTCCTGAGGACTATAGTGGTGGACTGTCGGAAGTGTGCTAGGCAATATCTTAATCGTAGGCTCCAGTTGTATATCCTTGTAAGATGTGGGGCTAACTAGGCGGCGATAACATGGAGGACTTTGTTTATAATCCCGTCTAGTCCTGGGGCTTTTTTTGGGGGCGTGAAGGCAATAGCTTGGAGTACCTCTTTCTCTATGATATCCGGAAATAGGATCTGGTCTCGGCATTCGGCTCCGTGGATATCCTCGAGATCTAGTTCTGGAGGTGTCGGGAAGAAGGTTGCCTTTAGAAGTCTTGCCTTGTCTTGTGGCTCCGTGTGCTCAATGTTTGTTACTAGGTCTTTCAATATCGGAGTAGTGGTCGGTGCCACTTCCCCCTAGGTTTTTGCCTATCTTGCTAGCTTTCACATACTCTCTGGGCTCTTTATGGCGCTTTCGACTTGGTTTCGGTGGCCTTAAAGTAAGGCCTTGCGGATCACTCTTCCTTTCTAGTTTCGAGCTACGTGGTAGGCCTCCCAGCTCTCGTCTGTGTGGAGTCGGGCGTTCTAGCGCTTAAGTCTTCGCGCCTCCGCTTGTGTTTCTTTGTATTCAGAGGTCTACCCGGCTCTCGCTCTTAGGGACCATCTTTTTAGGGGTGTGGCGTGTTCTATAGCCGACTGTATTACTTTTGTCACCTCCCTGATATATCTGTCTAAGGCGTGTTTTGACTTGAGACAACGGGGTGTGGGTAACTCTCGTGCGAGGTTTGCTCGGAGCTCTTTCTCATTAGTGCTAGACCAGTCACGTGTTTCTGCTTGTTGTCTTTGTATTGTTCGGAGGTCTAGAATCGTTGTGATTAGAAGGTGGTCTGAGTTGTGGTCCATCTCGTAGTCTACTTCGTATTTGACAACTCTATTCACTAGGTCTAGTGTACCGTAGTAGAGGTCAATGTAGCTCTATGCATTTTTGTCATTGTACGTAACTATATCGGCGGGTAAAAGGCTGCCTAGCTAGTATTCTTCTATAATATTAATTAAGTCGTCTGATTCTGGATCTCTTTCTCGTACCGTTAGGCCGCCCTAGAGTTTATAGTATAGGTTGAAATCACCTAGAATGATTTGTTCTTCTTCTTAGTGGGCGGAAAGTGCCGTTCTGAGGTGTGGCAGGTAACTTGTCTTATAGTCTAACGATCTTGGGGGGTTATATACGTTGTGTATATAGATCTTTATTGCTGCCTCTGTGGTTGGGCTTGTTGTCGTGATTTCAAGTGTACTTAAGTCTCGTGTGTTATCTGTAAATCTCTACTGATTTGGGTCAATTCTCTTATTAATAAAGAAGTAGACTCTCGTAGGTGCTTCTCTGTTGTCGTTGGGGAAGTAGAGATGAAAAGAGTGTGTGATTAGGTTGTGGGTCGTCGAGATAAAGGGGTTCCTCTATAGTTCCTGGAGTGCTAGAATATCGTACTCCTGGATCCTTGGGTCGCGTAGTAGTATTGCTATAACTACGTCCCTCGATTTCATGACGTTGTACTGTAGGATCTTTATGCCTTCTTCGCCGTAGTTCATAGTTCATTTGTATTCTATTGGGAACTAAGTAGTGAGTTCGTTGTGATTGACTCTAGTGCTCGTCTTGAAAGTACGTGTAGCCTCCGCGGTCTCTGGCTATCCTCGACTATGATTGTGTCCTCGTTCTTATCTTACATGCTGTCGAGCCCGTTTCTTAAGTGGACCCTCTTTGGGGCTCTTCCTTTCGTTGGGGACTTGCTCCTGGAGTTTTGTCTGCCTAGTAGTAGTGTTGGCGTTAGCGATGATGGCCTTACTAAAGTGGCACTTGGCCTACCTCTCTGGGTTCTATTTATTATTACTGCCGCTTCCGCTAGCGTAGCGTTAATAATCGTGCGTTCTATTAGTGGCCTCTCCTTCGTCGGTGGGACAAAATGGTATAGTTGTCGGGCATCGTATACGGCTTTCACCTTGCTCAACTCGACCTTCTGGACGGGACATCGATTATTCCACGCCTCGTGTGCTCCCTTGCACACAGCACATTTCCTTATGGCAGACTTGTCGCCCTTGGTGGGGCAATCTTTCGAGCTGTGCGGTTCTGCACAGTAGCCACATACTGTGCTCGCTTTGCACTGGGTTCCTATGTGGCCGTATTTTTGACACTTGTAGTATTACTTCAATCGGCACTATTTGTCGTATTTCTCACATTGAAAAGCCTCGCCTTACCAAATAAGACCTTCGTCGATGATCTTGTTTGCGTCTTCCGGATTAGTGAACTCGACGATAATAGTCGAAGCTGACTTTGTACTCGCTACTCTTAATAGCCATCTAATATATTTGATGTCCGCATTAGGTGTAAACGGTCTGTTGTCGTGCAGGAGCTCAGCCTTGATCTCGTCGAACTTCTCCATGTCCATTGAGCTGGTCCTAATTCCATGTGCGAGAATACCGTATGTTAGCAGCCGGATACTCGTGCCTCTTCCAATCCGGTTTATCTAGTCGTTTACAAATTGTTTCAAGGCCTCTACTTCGTTTCTGTTTGATGTCTTGATGCTGAGGTCTCCGCTCTTTAGTTGGTTAGCTGATGCCACCCGAATCCGTTCAATGTGCTTGTTTCTGCTCTGTTCAATCGCGCGGTCAACGTGGTTCTATAAGTTTCTGGGGTTCTTGGCTCGGAGGCTCTCGATAGTGGATGGGTCTGTAATCTTCACGATGATCTCACGTTGTGCTTGAATGAACGAAGATGTCTGAGTAGATATTGTGATTGGTCTGCTAAGAGGAGCCGCATTGCTACTCAATACTGACGCGTATGAAGCCTTAGAAGGCGGAGTACACTGCACAACTTTCACCATATCATTCGTCGTCTTGGTCGTATCATTTATCGCTTTGGCTATGTCGTTCGTCTCTTGCAGAAGTTCAGTGGTTGTTCGTCGTGTCTCGGCAGCTTCCTTCACGGCTTGATTGGTCTCCTGGCCCAGCGTAGCCATGTGCTGCTGCGTTATTGTATTCTGCTGAACTTTGATCGCCGTGGATTGCACCGTCTCTGCTGTTGTTTTGAGGTCGCTCTGGATAGTTGTAATGGCTTGGACGACAGCGCTGAGATCTGGGGTATTCTGGAACTTGGAAATCAGGACGCTCATGGCTGCGATTATAGTCTTGACAAGAGGCTTCGGCACCGGCTGGTCTCCGGCGGAGTCGATACAGACGAGTGCTTTCCTGAGGTAATCACTGAGGTATGCAGCATACTCTCGGGGGTCGTTAGGCCATACTGCTACTTGAGGCCACGGTGTCGCCATGGTGCCTATGTCACACTGGGCAATGCGCACAAGCTCAGGCTTCTCAACTGGCCAAAAGGAGGACTGCTAGATGTGGTCTTCGCTGTTCAATTTCAAAAATTCCGTTCTCGCTGTTTGTGATGTTTTTTCCATTTAGAGGCTCATTAGTAGCGGCCATATGTATCTGCTGGTCACGTGTAGGGCTATAGAGCCTCTTATTAAGTGTCCCGTGGCTTAGTGGTTCCAGGATTTTCCTCGGATATATTTTTCCGCAGTCGTGCCCGCCTCTCCCCTGTGTCGGTACAGGGTGGTTGGCCAGCTTACCGAATCTCCCCAAGCACTGATGTCAACCTCCCAACGAGGCAAGCTCCAAGAACGCACAAGAGCTTGACATAGAGTTTGAAGCCCACTTACGTCGCCGCCAGGTACATGTAGTAGAAAAGGGTCTTCGTTATCATCTTTCTGGAAAGAGATGAGAGCCTTAATCTGGATACCGGGAAGGAATTCCTCATCAGAACCAGCATCATTGTTTACGGCTTAGGTGTTTGTACCCGTCCCTCCACCCTGGTCGTACATTTTGGTTGGGCCGCTTAGTGAGGCTCGCAGCACTTTTGCGAGCTTCCATTGTCAGAATTTATCCCCAGGTTCGCGGAATGCAAGCCTATGATAGGCTCAATTCTGAGATCCGAGAAGGAGGTTCCAAAAGCAGGGAGGAACGACTGAAGAGGGCTTTACCGCTGCGGCCTGAGGCAGACCGTAGAATTCGTTTGGTGGCGTTCCCATCACCCCTTATTTTTCTCGCCGTGAGAGTACGGAGGTGCCGAGGGCCCAAAGGCGGTGAGACAAACATTACCCTCGGCGGCACCACCGTAGCAACGATGGACAATAAAAAATGAGGAGGTGGATGGCCGGGCTCACGGCTGTTGAGGCACCAGATTCCCCAAAAGGCTTGGTCAAGCGGTGTAAGATTGGACGACCAGCGACCGGTATCAATTCATGGGGTCGCAGAACAGGCGCTGAGAGGTCGGTCCAGCTCGGGGAACCCAGGAAGTCATTACATGTCCAGGGAAACGGAAACCAGGAAACAGGATCAAGGCCTTGAACGACCGGTATTGCGCATTCAAAGTTCAAGTTCCTAGCAACAGAAAACAGTACCTAACAGGAAACGCCATGCCACGATCCAAGATTAAGCGTAGAACACTGGACAAGAGGTCAAACAAACATGAAATCACCAAATTCAATTACTCAGATCGCCGACCTGCTATCTCGAATCTATGACTCATAAGATAAGCTTGCAGCAGGACCTTGTCCCCGGTGTGTCCAATCGCAGCCGAAGTCTACCATCCATTACGGGCGGGCGCGTGATGAATTTTAGCGAAGCACAGCCCAATGTGTAAAAGCAGCCTGGGCCACAACTTCCGATTCCGTACCAGTTTTAGCGCTCGCAACGATAGATTAGTGGTAAAATCCATCGTTGCCAGTTAAGCATTCATTTGTTTAATCAGAATCGATGGGCCCCGGGTTCGATTCCCGGCGAACGCAATTTTTTTTAGACGTTTTTTGAGGCCGCTTTTTGGCTTCCTTGTTTCTTGATCCCGATCTAGGTCCGCGCAACTAAGCCCTTCCCCCACCGAAATCTATGTGTCCTATAGCAGAAACGTTCCCCCTCCAACAGAGGACGGCATAATTAAAACTATGCTTCATCGAATCAGGAACTCAAAAAGCTAAATCCTGACTTGGAAGTGGCCAGCGGCCTTGGACACCCACGCCCTAGTAATGCTAGGTACACGTGACCTTTGATGAGATAAGTAATAAGATAGGTATGAATTAACACCCCCAGCTACTAGCGGCTTCGTTCTTTTTACAATTTCTACGCTATCATTTTCAGACTATTACGGTGTACTGCTTCCCCAAAAAGAAATCGGTTATGCCTAGAGCTCGTACGGCCTAGTTACCGCTCTCGACGGATGATCTGCTGATAAATCTCTAAAAAATTTAGTGCCGCCCCGAAAGTAGCTCCGCTAATTGCGTCTCTAACACGACATAACTATATATCTATCTTGGGAAGGTTTAAGACGTAAGATTTCGAACCGTTTAATAATCGGCCTTCCGCTAACAATGATAAGTATATGTCCCGCATAGACAGGCACTAGATCAGGCCCCGATTACAACATAGATAAAAGGGTTTATTAAGATAGTAGCGCAAGAGTCTTGTGGTATTATTAGTAAACGGCCGACAGCCTATACTTTATATTAAACCGTTAGTCATTTAGTTACTTCTTATAAGTGGCACACAGGAGTTGAAATCTTAGAAGATGTCCGGAAGGAAGTCAAAGATGTACGGTTTAGCGTTATCCCCCGACTTATATATAATTAGGAGACTAACAATATAGTAAATATAGACCGAACTAAAGCCTAAGCTTAACTTAAGCACCGAAAAAAAGCTCAAAAGCACCGCTTCGGCCTCTGACTTACACGAGATCCTCCGCTTTTTATAATTAAAAGACCGGCACAAGTGTAAGCAAGAACAAACTCGACTAAACATCGCCTTCTATCTTCTTATACTCGCATATACTGCTACATAGCTAGGGGCTGTGGTTGTTTCGTCCGCATATTCAACTAGTGGCGAATGCCTTAAATACAAGGTCAGTTGATATGTAAGGATAGAAGACCTAGCGGATGATTTATAATAGTACTTAGTCTTTCGTCTTCACAGGAATAAGGGAGATTAGCCACCTTAAATGAGTCTCACAATGACCTTCTAGTACATAAAAGGTGACCGACTAGACTTAAGTAAATTGTAAGTGTACCCCGATTATCTTTTCGTACCTATTAAGCTGACTTATAACTAGCGTAATATTAACTCTATAAGAGGACCGGGAACTCCCTCACTTATACCCTATCATTCACTTCCTTACTCTAGCATTTGAGCACGATGCGTTTGAGTTCACACTAGAGCAAATATTTAGGCCCTAGATAAACCCTAAGGTGATCGAAGTGCCTTTTCGTGCTGAAGTCCTAGAGACGCCTCTTTTCCGCGGCCTTAAGGGAGAGCCTTAGTCCTATAATGCTTGCAGTGTGATGTTCAAGGCGGTCGTTTATCGAGTTGGATACGAAGCTCCTGCCTCGGCCTATAGTATTAGACGATGGGCCGTAAATGCGTTGGATAGTAGGTTGACCACCATCGCGCAGGCACCCAAGCACAGATCTAACCTGTATAAAGAAACTGTTGCGGGCACGATATGGCATTTTCAATCTACTTCAGCAGGAAGGGCCCCTCGAGAACTCGCCAGACCACCACTCTTATCCAGACGACATCGAGGAGTATGAGAAAGGGTTAATGAAGTATATCTGCAACCGAGTTGTGTTCTTCGATAGCAACTATACCAATATCGATTTCATACAGCTACTTGTTACCTTATTCTGTCTGACTTTTCTATGCTTATGGAGCATCGGCGGGAATATCAAGTCAGGGGTTAGACAACTGAAGCGATTTTGCAAAACAAAAGCGTAGAGCCTCGATCAATGTTGTCAGTCAGTTGGGGACAAAATTTGGACTCACCTGAAAGAGTCTCACCAGCGGGGTGGCCAGACTGTGCGCTAGCACAAACGACTTGCTGCAGGAGCACGAACGGTCATGTTTGGTTTCCGTGGTCTCCGTAGTCCTCCTAATCCCATTTTAGGAGATCCGCAAGTTCAACTCGAAGCTTACGATATCGGAGCATAAGCGATTATTACCATCAGCACGTTTACTTGCTTTATACTGCTCGCATCTTGCGATACGGGTTACCACATTTTCCCTGTACTGTGTCCGGTAGAGATTGGACTATGTACGACTAGATCTAAGTGCCGGGGCAATGTCAATATTATCCAACGTTAATACTAGACTACCTAAGCAAACCAGGGGCTTTCCTTCACCCCTTTGTTGTTCTCGCCTATTTCGACGAGGGAAGGCTACAGGCGGCGAGCGGTGCGCATGACCTTGGGAAGAAAGCCTCGCTTATTGGACTTCTAAACAGATAAGAAACCAACAACTTTTCACACAAGTTTGTATAGTCCAAACACATATCCTCTTGTTAAATGATATGAATTGAGGACCATTGGATAGAGCAGCAAAACTCCCAGACTAATCGCGATGAGGCGGATAAATCCAACCGAGAAGCAATTAGTCTATTAGAAACCATAAGCATGTTACAGTTTTAGAGAGGCATCACCGTGACGTAAAACGTGGGTGCTTGTACATGGCTAATAATCTTTTATTTGAGTACAAGTAGTGGTTAGAAATTGTTTGTAACTGAGCTAGGCGTGTAGTGAATCCGAAGTTGAACATAAAGCTGGAACGGCTGCCGAGCATTCATTCACCGCTCGATCCATAAATTTTCTTGTAAATTCTCTCAGTCAAAACGTTGGAGAATCTCAATTCCCCGTGTCGGCATTCAATAAGTTATCATCTAGCAAGTTCCTGCTACCCTGTAAAGCATTGAAAGGGGCTGTTCGAACTTGGGCCGTTGCCAAAGGCAATTCTCCAGAGCGATGAGCCGTTGTCGGATGTTGTTTGTAGTCATTGGCAAAGTATACCAGCATGTTGGTGATGGTGTTCACCAAATCCTATTTAATCGGGAGAGGTTCCAAGGTGGAAGGTAAAGGTACAATCACCCGAAGCCAACTGACATCTCAAGCTACACCCTCAACATGAAATTACTCGCGCTGCACAATTTTCATCTCCATGCCTTATCCTTCGGTCTTATACTCCAACTCCTCCCTTCCTCACCCAATGCGTTTCCTCAAAGCATGACTAACAACCTCATGGCCTGAATACAACATCGGACAAGTCACACAAGCCTTCCCCCCTTCTTAGCTCATCACCCCATAAATGCATTCAACAATTTTTCACTCTCTGCCTCCCCGCCTGTTCGGCCGTAGGATTCTCCGGGATCTTGCGCTCCGCGTCAGCTGCTTCTTCTCTTGCTACCAAGAACATACCTGAAACCCAGACGATAACCCCGATCAGGATTCGCGGAGTAGGATCAAGGAGTTGTCGTATATTGAGGAGAGGAGAATCCCAACTGAGCTCCGTGTATGGCAAGCGGAAACATCTGGAGTCATAGAATATGTGTAGGACCGGATGGCAAGCATAAGGCTGATTGATATCGTGCTTTAGTTTCGCGTCCGAGGTTCACACTGTCAGGAAGGGTTTAATCTGGGACCTTCTTTTGTCGGAAACGAATTGGAGCTAAGTGTATTAGAACAGGGGCTTTTAGTCCTAAGCATATAGTTGATGTAAAGCTGAACTTTTGCACAATCTAAGGCACTTTCAAATTTTCCTGCAAAATGATGACAGAACCAGACTGGCGGGATTGCAGCTCAAGTGTTGGAACGGCTACAATGGCCTAACTTACGAAGGACAGGCTCCTTGAGATACAGTTTTCGAATTGACGTCATTTATCTAAGTCAATGCCATATTCTTTTCTTTTATTGCTCATAAGAGTCTCAAAATGCTCAAGTGGCCTCCGCTGGCGGACTATTATATACCTCTTGTATCACTTTGCGGAACTTGTCGTTATAATTAAGACAATTTTTTATTTTAATTGGCTGAATGACTGAAAATATTGGATTATGAAAAGGTGATGTTAAGCTATTTACTATTAAAACTAAATATATTTATGTAGTGATACAAGTAGTACAGTGAAATCGTGATGTATGCGTTGCGCAGAAGGGACAAGAGTGTAGTGGATATCGCCTAGCGTGCGAGGTCGATGCCCGTTTTATCTGTATGGTTATCCCCTTAAGTGCGGCATGCGCACCTCTCCAGGCTGTACTGCCTAAGCGAGGCGCTGATCAGTCAATTTCAACAGGCGATTCAGCGTAGTGGACAAGCTGAATTCTGATGAGGCTCACCTATTTAGTGATCGCTTGTAGTGACTGTTGCAGGGGCCTACAGGCTGCGCGATGAATCGCACTTAAGGGGATAGGCTTTACCTGGTTGCAGGGCTCGTGCCAAGGCCATCTCTGATTCGTACTCATCATGAGGGGCACGGATCTGGTCCAATTTTCTCTCAAGAACTCAGGCAAACGTCGGAACCGAGCCATGTCTTCTTTGGAAGCAGTACCTCTCTCTCTCTAAGAAGTTTATCATACATAACACCATTTAAGTGATTCAAATGCTCACTCAGACACCACGGCTTCAGTGACTTGTTTCTTCCAGGGTGCCTTCAAGCCTGTGTTGTGAATCGTTCGCTTCGATACCCAATCGATTGAATTGGGCTTGAAGTTGTAGGCATGTATGATCATGGGAAGGCAGACCGCGGGGCGCAAGTCTGCCCTGTCTGCCAACGGCTGAAACCCGTCTGTATCTTTTGATGAATCTCTCAACGATACGTTCATGTTCTTGTTGTACTACACTTCCCTCAATATCTTAGGACGTGGCTCAAATGCCAATGCGTACGGGTATTGCCCGCCAGTATCTGCTTTCTACCCAGAGTGTTTGCGAGCACAGCGCAATCGATTGGTCGTAGCCTCGCGATGGACCCGCTATCTACCTT